AGAGTCTGCTTTATTATTATGCAGTCCTCTTCCCTAGTCTTATCCCAGTTTCCTTCTTGCTCCGTAAAATCCGTCTGCCCTACCCCTTGTTCACCTATTTCACTCGACTCCTTCCAAAACCTCTGTCCTACTCGAGGCGTTATTCGCCCCCACCTGCGTCTGGGTGACTAATTCGGGGCGTAAGCCTCTGAGTGTCATGGTTACCCGTTTGCTATATGCTCATAGATAATGCCGTTAAATGTGAAATATGTTGTCATAACTGTCTGCCTCCAGGATATCCTCTTCTCGCTGTAATATCTCCATTTAGACGCTTATCGCTTTCTCACCTGAGATATTTGTGTACATGGATTGTACATCAAAACTCACCAACAGCTCAGACTCCACTAACACAATGTTCTGGATCGTTTGAGAACATTCATAAGAATTCTTGACGGTATTCAAGAGTCTGTCATTTACTTTATTGAGCTTCAAGTAAATAAATTTCCCTAGTTTGTGCATTGCGCCATGCTTGTTGTTGACTATTAGTCTTAGAGGATTTCCTTCCTTGTGTATCTTCGGTAGTCCGTAGACTGTCGGTGGTCTTGCGTCATTTTTGATTAAGGATTTCATCATCCATCTGTCAATTTCCCAATTTTTATGCATTTCCTTGAGCATATTCTTCAGTATCCCGTTGATCTTCGTGGTTGGATCCTTCCTTAGTATTTCATAAGTGTTTCGATCGCCTAGGGTACTTTCCATTTTCTTCGTGTAATGTTTCCTATCCATTCCAACCGTCGCTCCTCCCTTATCCGCCTAAGGAACTATTTGACCATTCATTTGTAATTTTTTCCGAATACCAGCCAATCTGTTCCATTTTATAGGTTGTTGATGTGTCAGGATACATGGGATTATTTCCAATTCCATCTCCCGCCTTGTATCTTCTGGAAATTTATCCGTTATGTTGACCACTTCTACCAGGATATCATTAAGAACATTTCCTTTATTATCTGGTGATGCCTTCAAAAGAGAACCAATACAATTTACAGGGGTTACTTGGTCTTGTGTTGTCTTATTATCCCATAGCTAAGCAATTTCTTATCATGTCGCTTATTTATTAGATCCCTGACCCTCTGTGACCTCTGGTCGGTCATGCTCTAGAGTTTTTTAAAAATCATCCAAAGCGAGAACCCTC